TTTATTTTTTTCTTGTACTTGGTACTGTTTCTGAACACACAGAACACTGCTTACAACAGCCATTCCCTGGACACTTCACAGATAGAAACTGAAATAGTATATCAACATATAAATGTTGATATTAAAGATACTAAAGATTAAAGAGAAATGCATATTAAAGATGTTAGGCAGCAGTTAGCTATTTTCTAACCTAACATTAGGGTGATATACATAAACTCTAATGATAACTATTATTTTTACTTCTGATTATTTCAGTATTATGTAGAAATAGATACCACATCCTATTACTAAGAAGAGCCTGCAGTATTTTATTTTTTTCTTTGTACTTCCCTAAAGAGTGTTATCTTTATGTTCACAAAGTCATAATCCTGTGGTAGTAGGCAACTAGTATACGCTTGGGCATCTAGTCCTGATGAAACTATTTAGACTAGATTGAAATTAGCTTAAACTGGGATGAAGTTAAATTTCCACTCCAACTTTCTCCTGCGTAAATATTCCCCATAAACTTATGACTGAAAAAGATCAAAGGTCTGTGATGATGACAAATTTCTTGGTTTGCACCAAGGTGACCTTATACCCATGGTCTGAACGCAAAACCTTGTCTACATTAATGCTGTTCTCTCGCCAACAGAATCAACCAAGCTGATGGCAAACCTCTGCTCTTTACCTGCTCAGACTGAAATTCATTATCACGTTATCGAGTAAGAAACGATGCCCAGAAGCTACAAATTTCCCTTGTGCACACAGCCCACAGCGCAGGGTGAGCCTCATCCCCCTTCCCTCGGGGACGCTCTGCGGACCTTGACCGGCTCTGTGCCAGCACCTGCACAGATGGTCCCCCGACGGGGGCTCCTGCCTTCTCTTCCTGTGGGGCACTTGTGTGCAAGACTGAGAGTGCCCCGTCAAGTGACGTGCTGTTAGCACGAATGTCCGAGGAGTAAGTCAAGGAAAATTTAGGAGTTTTAAGGACTCAGGAGGCTCTTTCCAGGTAAGACATAAAATGAGGAGCTGAAAGAAGGAAACAGCAAAAAGAAGCAAAGCCTGCAAAGAGAGGTCAAATGCAGAATTATTACATCATACTGAAACTGCCCGGCTGCCTCCCTCCTCCCACGCGGCCTCTGCATTTTGTGGTCCCATGTTTCTCCTCCTGTCTTCTCTTTCTGAAATGTTCCCTGTCTGCCTCCTCGTTCTCCTCCATTATTATAATCTGCAGTTTTGCCAAGAAATACCCATTACTTACTGGGTGCCTGGTAAGAAGTCAGGCACAGATGACGCAAGAGAGGCGTAAGATACAATTTCCCCTTTCATGTTGGCTACAGTGGTAATTGATGCACTGACTGGTAAATAATAATAAAAATAATGATGATGCCCCAAAGAACAACAAGCTGAAACAATACATGAAAAATGCCAAGAAAGGAAAAAAAGTGGACAGTTTCAGTGGAGCTATTTTGCGGCAAGAGTGATGAAAGAGACCAGGAGAGAGGAAACAGGATTTGCAGAGACCAGAGGCCTTGAGGACGGTGGGAGCCGATGCCCCAACTGCCTTCTGCTCTTCTGTCTTCATGAAAGGAAAGCAAAGCCCGCGTCTCAGCTCTGGGCCCGGCTCCCCGCGCCCGGGTGGGCCCAGGGCTCTGGGAATGTGTACCAAGGGCCCAGGGAAGGCATCAGAGGGTTTTTCCCCTTTCACTGTGTATTTTTAAGCTGTGGAGTGTGGAAAGAAAGGGATGGAACTGCAAACGTAACAGGAAATGAGCTACAATGCTCCAGGTGAAAAACGGAAAAGGTGCAGATTCAAATGACAGCAATGGAGACGAAGGAGGAAAGATTTTAAAGGTTTTTAAAAAGTAAAATGACAGGATTTGGGGAGCTTTTCAATATATCATTCAGAGAGTGCCTTTTATTTATTTTTATTTTTTGCAAGAAAAAAGAAAAAAACCCAAGATGTAGTTTAGGGAAGGAGGTAGTTTCCAGGCCACTGAGGGATGGTGTGGAGATGGAGAAGGATCAACAAATAGTCGGCACTGACGAGGGCCTGCGAGTGTGGAAAACAAGAATAAAACTGGCCCAGGATAAAGCCCATAGAACCCCAATACTTAAAAGCAGATACATATGGAGAAGCAGTAAATGGATGACAAAGAGGTGGACCCATGTACACATTTGTGGGGCTGCATTTCATAACTATTGTATACAAATCACACCTCTATAACGAGTGTGAGTATTTATGTGTATGTTTATGTATAGGAACAGCATAGAAATATCTCTACTCCTACACTAGCTTATTGTCACAGTGAAGGTTCTCACGGAGCCCAGAACAGAGAAAAGACCAGGGCAGCCGCCCTGACCCGAGCTCAGTCACCCAGAGCACGCGAGGAAGAGGAGACACAGGCCCCGCACTTCACCCTACCCTTTTTCTAACTAAATGCATTGCAAATTCTAGCAATGATAAGGGCCACAGGCAGATTTTTATAAGAAAAATACTTTTAAACAATCAATAAATAATCATAGTCACACCCCAAAAATCTCTAAATTGTAAAGTATTTGGAACTTAACACAATTGCTTATCAAATCAAATTTACGATTTGTTTCAAACACTTGCGATGTGCAAGGCGTAGTATGTATTTCTTACAGGAGCTCTTTCTTTTTAATGTAGGTGGAAAAATGAAGAACTGTGTCCAGGAAATGAATCTCAACCGTTATGGCTCGTAACTCACAACACAGCTCACATTCTCATCACTGTTGCATTACGGACAATAGATTCACCTGGTGTTACACCTTTTGTGATGCCTGAGAACATTCATCTCTACCTTTTCTCAAAACCACTCTGTCCTCCAGAATTAGAAGATCTGCGCAATGCTTTGGTTCCCAGTTATCACGGCAAAGAGGCACAGAGCAAAGTGACCACAAACTTCTGTGTAAAACTCAACCCATCACTGCTGTTGAGAAGTCTAGCGTCGGCCTTGCCCTTATTTGTGTTTCTGAAATAACACATCTAGATTGTGCCCGTTTTATGCATTGATGTCGCTCTATACATGTGGCTCTATTTCTTTATTCCTTTAGAGTGCACAAATTTGATGTCCAAAAGTCTAATATTCCCTATAAACACTAAACTCAGTTTTAATACATTAAAATAAAATAATCTGATACACTTGTTGCTGCTAAAGAAAAATACATATTGAAAGCATTAATAACTTCCCAAATTTATGCACTGAATCACAAAATGTGTCTTGGAACTTAAAAGGATAAGATTTGCAGACACAGATAATTATATCTGTAATTTTCCCCAAAAAATAAGTATGATGTATTTCAGGAAGACCATCAGTGCCTTTTGGAGAAGTGTTTGCTCTCAATATTTATGTGAACAATTTAAATTAAACCTAAACTTTCTAAATAAATCTCTTTTTATCTATCCATTTATTTATACTGTGAATATTCAGCAGAATTGACTTAAAGGTTTCTCGATGTCTTTATACTTTTTTGATTATAAATTCAAACATGTGTCTTTTTGTAAAAATCCTTAATAGACTGACTTGAATTTTTAGTGGTTTACTGCAATCTACAAAATATTTCAGTATTTCTTTATTCTCATTCTGAAGTGCTTTGCACAAGTTTTTGAATGGGAATTTTTAATGGAAATTCACTCTTATTTATGTTAATGCACATATTATGACCTTATTAATATTTTTTCTTTATGACTTTCTTTTGATTATAACCTTCAGGGATGGTAACTTGGTAAACATTTTCTGTGCTAAGACAAAACACTGTAGATACATAAATTCATAATAAAATTCATAAGTAAAAATTCATCTTTGCCAGTAAAAAAGAAACACTATCTTATGCTGCTTTCTACTCTCTTCGGTTACACAAAATATAAGTTGACAATGTGACATGATAAGGAGGTAACTACTGACTCACCTTTTAGAGGAAAGGAGATTGGCAGAAAAATTCAAAAAAGGTCTCAAAGTGAATTCCAATAAGCAACATTTTAAAAATTAATTTTTCTCTTTTCATTTTAATTTTTACTTATTTGGAATTTCTACAAAAATGCCAATTTCAGTGTCCTTTCAGTAATAAAAAGCAGGTTTGGGGTACCACATCATAAGTAATAATATAAAATACCAATTTATTCGTTACATGTAATAAGCATCTGAAATGTGCTCAGGACCCAAACTGAAACTGTTCAAAAAATGTCCATCAAATAGACTGTAAGATACAAAGATCTCAAGCTTAAATAGGCACCTGAGGTCCAACTGCCACATTTTCCTATAGAATGCAGCATTTGCATGATTCCTGACAGTTGGGCATTTTTATCTCGTTAGGGCTGTACTATTTACACATCACCCAGGAAGGGCGGTGGCCCCACAGAATTTCTAAAGCAAATTGTCATTGAAACTTATAGTCAGGAACAAAAAAACTTGATTTAAAAATACGTTCTGTGATAAAAAATATGCAAAAAGTTAAAAGTTTATTAAATACCAAGATTATTTTCAAGTATCATATAGTCAATTATTTCATAAAACATTTCAGTGACAATCAAAATTTGAGGAAGCAAACTCCTGGTCCGAAAGAGGGGGTGGCGCCACGCAACCAAAGCCATTTTACGACTTTTTTAAAAAATCATTTTTTGTTAAAAGGATAAAAACTCACTTACTTTATCATGACTTAACTTTCCTCAGACTTTCCTAAACTTAATGTACATGCACGTTGAGGGTTAAGTAAGTGCTGTTGTAACACTGAACAGTTTTTAAACAAAGGTACAGACAGACTGTTTTCCTTTTAAATTGCAATCTCCACCCCCAAACATTTGTGCCTCTTTAAACAGAAGCAATTGTTTCTTCACCTAACAAGCCATGTCTTTCCGAGCTACGGCAGCCGTGGCCGTTTTTCTGTGGACTTCCTCTCTTCTCGTCCCCAACACTCCACTTACTTTACATCTGTTGCAAACCAATGTCCCTCTACAAGGTAAAAAATATCGAAGGAAACATTAATATTCTTGTACTTACCCGCAATGAACTCTCTTATGTCCAGAAATGCAAAGCCAAATGCCAGAAGTTTAAGCCACAAATACATGGTCATATCTGGAAATCAGCCGTATTCCCAGGAACCAGCATGCGTTCTTCTGAAAGGCAGAAAAATGGTTATCTCTGTAAAAGTTTTTTTCTGTGAAACTGAATCCAAAATAAAAGAAATGAACGCATACTCTTCTCTGTTATCTTATCAGAAGGGGAGCAATTTCCTCCTCTGTCACCCTAAGAACAAACCACTTACCAGCAGCACCACTAGGTAGTGATGTCAGGTTCGGTTTTAGTAACTTCTCCAAAAATACTGTAAAGGGTCCTCTTTGCAGGAAGTCAAGAAAGTTGTTCACACTCAGTGTGAAGGCATCTGACTTCCTTAATTCAGTAATTAGACTAAGTTAGGAGGCCTGTAACATTTTTCCCCTTCAAGGTAGATGTTTCTTAAGTATCCAAACAACACTGTTAACGATATTCATACAACTTTTAAAAAATATGGTATCCTCTCAAAATAATCAATAACTTTCTTCCTGAAGAGATGATAGAACAGGTTCAGCATGGGTACAACAAATGGAGGGTGGGCAAGATAACACACTGAGGTAGTAGAAAATATCTGCGTTTGATTTAAAATGACCTAATGAACAAATAAGCAGCTACATGTCTGACTACTTTTGGCAGCTAGTACCGTTCACCGCGAGGGCATCAGAGCCCAGCAATGCGGCTGTGTTAGCAGGCAAACCTATTTCCTATGCAAAGTGCCCTCAGAGAACTTAGCCAATTTGCCCCAGACCTGCGCAGGGAGCCGTGTGGCGGGTGACTGCGAGCAGCAAGTCCCTTCTAGGGGCGCGGATCCTGCTTCCAAAGGGTGATGCGTCTGTGGCTTGGGATGGATGGAGCACTGTGGGTAGCAAAGAAGAGCAGTGAAAACCCAGAGCTGTCTTTTACAAAAGTTAACCTTTTTTTCCCCCAGCAATACTTTCCTATCCTTTTTGATTAAAAGATAACAAATTATAATGCTCTTCATAATTCTGATGGCATTCTTTGTAAGCCCGTTAATTAAGGAAATGCAGACCGGCTACAGGTACCGTGAATTTAGCAATGCCGTGAAATGAACTGGTATCATCATCACAGTATCTCATCCACTGAACAATAACAGTGCGCACATACACGAGGCATCACTGTTTGAACCACAGGTGACGCTTAGGGGACCTACAGAGCCCATGCAGTGACCCTACAGACCCCAGGTAGGAAACAAGACTGTAGGTGTCTTCTATTTAAGTAAATAAGTCTTTTGATATTTACAAATTTACTTGTTTCACTCTCCCTTTGTTTGCTAGGAGGGCCTGACTGGCACACCGCCCCTTAGGGCAGATGGAAATGAATCCCACATCTTAAATCCTGCATAATGACAGGATAGTAAGATTTTTTGCTGTGATTATGGTTTATTACCATAGGTGGTTCACGGGGCTGTTACCACGGTGGGGAATATGCTGAGCACTTTTACTGCACAATCTAATTCGTGTAACAATGCTTGAGGTGCAGCCCGCCTCTGCCCCTCACTGGGCCAGTGGAGTTCAGGGGGCCGGGGACTGGTCCAAAGCCTCGCAGCTGGGGCGGACGCCGCCTCCAAGATCGTCTTCCTTTCCTGACTTCCCATCTTCCTTCCTTTTTCTCACCTCTCTCCCCAGTCTTGTTTCCTATGTATTTTTATAACTTTTCATCTCCAAAAGATCACACACTAATTCCACAAAATTGGTGTTGCTCTTGTTTTGACAAATGTGTGTTTAAATGAAACAGCTGTGAACGGAGTCACTACTCTTCAGTGGGAAGGCCGAAGGAAGAGTACGTGTCCAAGGTCACAGATGTAAGCTCTCGGCTCCACAGCGTGTTTCCGAAAATATACTCACAATGGAACCCTGTCTGGGGCTTAGCTCTCGATATATTTAAGCAGATACAGGTGTTCTGCTAAGTTGCTGTTACAGAAGCATGTTTGGTAAAACAAGAAGCCAGGGGGAAAGTGTGTGACATACAATCTTTAAAAAGGAGTTAAGTATATAAAACACACTGTAACAAGCTAAAGACAGGGGTTTAGAAGCCCTAAAGAGACATTCTAAACAGGGCTTTGCAAATCATGGCTTTGAAGAAATAGTAACTTAGGAGATTTAACTCCATTGCAAGCAGGTAGGGAGGGAGGCTACCCAAGCATGAAACAGCAACAAACGGATCGGAGTATGTGTTTTATTTTAATGTGTCAAAATTGAGTTGAGTGTCTACAGGAAATATTAGGAAATGTTATATTGTATATTATAAAGGTGTGAAGAAATAGGGGCAAATGTGAGACAGCAGTGGACAGACGCAGTTCAGATGCTCCCAGAATGGAGGCAAGGGGGAGCCAGAGGTTTGAGATTCAAGTCTGCATTTCAGATGCAAGCTGTCAGGAGGTAGGCCAGCAGGGAGGCCCTAGCAGCTTGCCAGGGGACAGAGCACACCCCGCCTTTCACAGGGGACCGGACTGGTACGCAGTTCAGATGCTCCCAGAATGGAGGCAAGGGGGAGCCAGAGGTTTGAGATTCAAGTCTGCATTTCAGATGCAAGCTGTCAGGAGGTAGGCCAGCAGGGAGGCCCTAGCAGCTTGCCAGGGGACAGAGCACACCCCGCCTTTCACAGGGGACCGGACTGGATGTCTAGGCCTGGTGAGCAGCCGGCTCTTCCACGGGGCCTCCGAGGACACCGCCCTGCTCTGTCGCATCCCCATGAGCCTCGGGGCCTCGGCGCCCAGAAGCAGGAAACACTCACAGAAACCGAAGGAATGACTGCACCCCACCGATGTGACCCGCTCTCACTGATTCTGAGACAGGGGGTCAGGCTGCGAACACCTGAAGCCGGGAAAGGACTGAGAAGAAACATTAGAACTTATCTATAGTAACCATGTGGCACCTTTTGAATGGTTGAAACAGTACCACCGAAAAAATCTCAAAGTCTGAGCAATACGATTCCAACACACCCATAGCTGATTGACTTGCAATAGATTATTTAAAGCTGTAATGTTAAGTTTCAAATATTTTATGTAAATTAGCCATTTCTGAGATATTTTGTTACGCGGAGTAAAAGTTACATAAAGATAGGAACAGATTGCATGAGATTAACTGCAGAATCAGATGTTATGTGTCATTCATTCAATAAATACATAGTCATCTCCTAATATAAGACAATCATTTTTCCTGATATGAAGAAAAAATGCTGAGCAAAATCAGACATGATCCCTGCCCTGGCAGAATATATTTTAGTGGAAAAGACAATAACTAATTAACTAATCACCATGACTACTAGTCCAGCGCCCAGGAAGACCTTGATGTGATGATTTACGCATCTAACAGGGGAGCTGGTCTCGTCGTGACGCCAGGAAAATTTGCCTGAAATAGAGAACAGTGAAGCAAAACCTGAAAAAAGTAACAGAAGTTAAGCGGGCATGAGGAGACATGAGGAACAGAACCGGGAGAAAGGATGATGTATTTAAAGGGGAGATGTGTTTGGTGGGCAGACAGAGAAGCAGGTCCTGGAATATTCCAACATAGAACACTTCAAATCAACACAATGCACACCTTAAACTTACACAATGTTATATGCCAATTATATCTCAATTACAAAAAAGAAATCAGACATAAAAAAGAAAAAAGGGTGAGGCCTCAGAAGGGGCTGGGGACCAGACTTCCCGGGGCTGATTGGGTCTGATAGATTCATGTTCATCCTAAGAAATGGGGAGCTATGGAGGGATTTCAGGCACTGGTCTTGAATCTTCTTGCCGAGTCACCCAGATTGCCGGATTCTGTGCCATCACTTACTTCTCTGCTCTCATCTTAGATTATTTCCCAGCAGCATCTAAACCTCTCCTTCTCCAGCCTTGATCTTTGTCAGCTTCGAAACACCGTTATCTTCTCATTTCCCTTGACCTCAGGGGCTGCCGTGCGGGGTCCTAGTGCTCCGGCCTCTAAGAACTGCGAGGCGAGAAGGCCCAGGCCCGGGTCCACTGCACTGCCCCTGGGGAGCGCCCTCCTGCTGAGGCTCACACATATTTACCTCCAGTCCGTCTATGGTTCATGTCTCTGGACTCACATTTGCTCCTCCACCCCTGATGCATACACTGGATTGCCTCAGCCTTGACCCAGCCCCTCCTTAAACCTGCCCCAGCTCCCGATCTCGCCCATATCTGCAGTACACCAGCATGCAGCCGGCTCCTCATGCCGAAGCCTGTGCTTTGTTCTCATCTCTCCCTTACCGTGGCGAGTCCATGCGACTGACTGAGTAGTCCCATTCATTCTCTCTCCACACGTTCTCGTGCTACATTTACAGTGAATCACTCAAGACCACTCCTGATACGGTGCGGGTGATTGCAACTGATCTCCCCCCAGTATTTCCGATCACCGTGATCTTCTCTCAACACAAATCAGGCTGTGATAGAGACTTAAGACCTCTCACTATTCTTCTACTTTACATGTTGAATAGAATCTGATCGCCACACACATTCCTCAAGCCACTGAATGCTCCTCTCCACCCCATCCGCACTCTACTCTGGCCATAGGGTCTTCTTGTTCTTTGAATGCCACTCTCTGTCCCACTGCAGGGCCTCCCTTCATTCTGTCCAGGACACTTCCTGACCCACCCCACTGTCCACTCCTTACATAGCTTCCTGCAGGGAGCAGCTTAGATGCCCCTTTATCACTGACGTTTCCTGACAATTCCACTTAAAAGATGCCCCTCTGTTCCTTTCTATTTCAGAATTTTGTGTGTTTTCTCCAAATCTAGGGGTGCATTTGTTTACTCACATGCACCTGCCTCACTGGAACGAAACGTGTATTCAGGACGGTCAACCATGAGGCCTAAGGAGCACTTCACACCTTGTCACCACACATAATATTTGTTGAATGAATGAAGGAATGAAAAGACCTACACACATGGCTGCGGTGTGGCCCATACTGGGGAAGGCCAAGGACAGGAGCTGGCAGACAGGCCAGGAAGCTCACTCTGTGAAACACGTGAGGGAGGGTATGTTCACCAGCCAAATAAATGACAGAAGACGTTAACACCAGCAGTTATAAAAGCTGAGACACACGGCTGTCAAGGAGCAAAATATTCTAAGAGTACAAATGAGGGGCTATTCCTACAATTTTATGATTTGCTCTAAATGCATGCTTGCCTTCTGTCATATTGCCTTTTGAAAACTGAGGTACCAAGCAAAAAATCGGTGTTACTTACTAAATCGGCGCCTCTGTCTTGTGTAAAATGCAAATTCAGACAAAAAGAAGTCTCACCAGCTTCAAGCTGCATGGGCTGGGCGGCAAGGCTGCTTCGACAGATGTTCCCATTCGGCAGCAGGCCCTTAACATCCTAGTGGCCTCAGGTGGTCCTGGCCCCTGTGTTCCTACACATCAATGCCGACTGGTTAAAAAACACAGCACTCATGTGAAAAAGAAAAAGACATTTTGCCTAGTGGCCAAGAAACAGGGCTAAAATCTAACCCTAGCAGTTATTTCATCTCTGAGATACGGAGCTAACTGCATTACCTTGGGGTTGCTGTAAGAACTAACCTACAAGCTTACCTCGGAGATATTGCAGTGTTGGTGTGAGGCCACCATAAAAACGCAAGTCTCATAGCAAAGTGAATATCACAGTGATATCCCAGGAAAGCGAGCCGAAGGAGCTGTTCAGTTTCCCAGTGCATATAAAAGTTATGTTTATAATACACTGTAGACTATTAAGTGTGCAATACTATGCTGCCTAAAAACAAAACCATGTATACACCTTAATTGAAAAACACTTTATTGCTAAAAGCTGCTGACCATCATCTGAAGTTTCAGTGACTCTTCATCACTGATCACACACCTCATTTAGCTTCACCATTTCTAGTTTTGATTTGAAGTGAGAGACGTGAAATTCTTCTTCCGTTTGAACACTGAGAGGCTATCTCTGGGTTATTGTTTGGCCTGATTTCAGGATCGTTGTTTCTCAGGTTATAGGGAGGTCGGAGGAGAGGGAGGGGGCACAGCCAGCAGTGGAGCCGTCGGCGCATACACGTCTCCATTCAGGTCCTCAGCTTACATAGGAGCGGCCAGTGGCGTCCAAAACAGTTACAATAGTAACATCAGATAGCACTGGTCACCAGAGCAAATATAATAATCACAAAGAAAAAATGGGGAATATTGTGAGAACTACCTAAATGTGACACAGACGCACCAAGTGAGCAAACTCCGTTGGAAAAATAATGCCAATGGGCTTGCTTTGTGCAGGGTTGCCCAACCTTCAATTTTTATCTATGAAGTGCAATAAAGTGAAGCATTGTTAGGAGGGGTATGCCTAGGATTAATGAAACATGCACTCAACTAACGGGGCTGTGCCAACACACTGGGTCATAATTATAAGCACATACAATAAAGTATCCAATCCTATTGCTCCTTCCAGCCCCAGTGAAGAAGAGAGGGACTCCCCTAGGGTCTGACCGTACTGACTCCCTTTCGTAAAGCACCCAGGAAAGATCTAGAAGGAAGAGCAGAGGTTAAGGGGTTACACTGAATATGAAATTGGAGAATTTAACTTGACTGGCATGAATATTTTATTTCTTATCCAAGAATAACTTGGGAGTTTGGGGACCTGCCCTGTACATTTTTAAGAAAAGGGAAATTCAGCTTTGGGTTTTCCTTAGTTGACTTAAAAGTGCTGTCAATTGCAGAATACATCCTGATTTCAGGGATGTTAAAATACGTTTTATAAAATGCGTTATCTTACAATGGATGCAATACAGTCATATATCTGACCAGAGGCAAGAGAAAAGTATAATTATTTTATGTTTGCATCTCAATAAGTTCAGACTGTTTAATAACCAGGAATAGCTGTAAAGAACTACGATACAGGGAATGAGTTCTCATACCAGTTTCCCAACCCACCTCACCGGGACAGTCTCCCAGCTTGGAACAAACCAAGTCAGTATTCCACTGGGCCTGGCCTCCTGTGGGGCAAATATTGCAAAATATACACTTCCATCTAAAATTTCTGAGTGCAGTTTGAAACTATTCCAAATAAAAAATGACAAAAATACAGAAAAATTCTTTCAAAAAACCTAACATCGAATCTCAAAACTTCAAAGAATATAGGCATGCAGGCATCCCAAGGTTAAAAGACCAAGTCACATAGTAAACTGTGTTAGACAAGCTACCGATCAGACCCCACTCAGCTGACTTAGGTGAAACTGAAGGAAATCAGACACGGAGAGAACGTATGAATTTGATGGGATGGTCCCCAGGACCTCAGTGTGCTCATGTCTCAACGTCCATGTTCCAGCATCTTAGAGTCTTTGCATATTGCTTTGGCCAATCCCTAAACCACATTTATAAAACTCATTTCCTACTCTGTCCAAAGTCCTTAACACAGAAGCTCTGCTGTATGCTGGCTTTAGTTATATTCAACCCTGTGTCTGTCTTTAGGTTGACAAAATGGGATACGCTGGTGTGTGTGTGGCAAGGAATCCTGTATTTTAAAAAAACCAATTAGGAAAACATAAATTTCTCATAAATTCCCCATTTTCTTTGCTTCTCCAAGGCCCACTTGTGCAGAGATCTAATGCCACCACCTCTGGGGCATCCTGACCACTCCTGATACGGTGCGGGTGATTGCAACTGATCTCCCCCCAGTATTTCCGATCACCGTGATCTTCTCTCAACACAAATCAGGCTGTGATAGAGACTTAAGACCTCTCACTATTCTTCTACTTTACATGTTGAATAGAATCTGATCGCCACACACATTCCTCAAGCCACTGAATGCTCCTCTCCACCCCATCCGCACTCTACTCTGGCCATAGGGTCTTCTTGTTCTTTGAATGCCACTCTCTGTCCCACTGCAGGGCCTCCCTTCATTCTGTCCAGGACACTTCCTGACCCACCCCACTGTCCACTCCTTACATAGCTTCCTGCAGGGAGCAGCTTAGATGCCCCTTTATCACTGACGTTTCCTGACAATTCCACTTAAAAGATGCCCCTCTGTTCCTTTCTATTTCAGAATTTTGTGTGTTTTCTCCAAATCTAGGGGTGCATTTGTTTACTCACATGCACCTGCCTCACTGGAACGAAACGTGTATTCAGGACGGTCAACCATGAGGCCTAAGGAGCACTTCACACCTTGTCACCACACATAATATTTGTTGAATGAATGAAGGAATGAAAAGACCTACACACATGGCTGCGGTGTGGCCCATACTGGGGAAGGCCAAGGACAGGAGCTGGCAGACAGGCCAGGAAGCTCACTCTGTGAAACACGTGAGGGAGGGTATGTTCACCAGCCAAATAAATGACAGAAGACGTTAACACCAGCAGTTATAAAAGCTGAGACACACGGCTGTCAAGGAGCAAAATATTCTAAGAGTACAAATGAGGGGCTATTCCTACAATTTTATGATTTGCTCTAAATGCATGCTTGCCTTCTGTCATATTGCCTTTTGAAAACTGAGGTACCAAGCAAAAAATCGGTGTTACTTACTAAATCGGCGCCTCTGTCTTGTGTAAAATGCAAATTCAGACAAAAAGAAGTCTCACCAGCTTCAAGCTGCATGGGCTGGGCGGCAAGGCTGCTTCGACAGATGTTCCCATTCGGCAGCAGGCCCTTAACATCCTAGTGGCCTCAGGTGGTCCTGGCCCCTGTGTTCCTACACATCAATGCCGACTGGTTAAAAAACACAGCACTCATGTGAAAAAGAAAAAGACATTTTGCCTAGTGGCCAAGAAACAGGGCTAAAATCTAACCCTAGCAGTTATTTCATCTCTGAGATACGGAGCTAACTGCATTACCTTGGGGTTGCTGTAAGAACTAACCTACAAGCTTACCTCGGAGATATTGCAGTGTTGGTGTGAGGCCACCATAAAAACGCAAGTCTCATAGCAAAGTGAATATCACAGTGATATCCCAGGAAAGCGAGCCGAAGGAGCTGTTCAGTTTCCCAGTGCATATAAAAGTTATGTTTATAATACACTGTAGACTATTAAGTGTGCAATACTATGCTGCCTAAAAACAAAACCATGTATACACCTTAATTGAAAAACACTTTATTGCTAAAAGCTGCTGACCATCATCTGAAGTTTCAGTGACTCTTCATCACTGATCACACACCTCATTTAGCTTCACCATTTCTAGTTTTGATTTGAAGTGAGAGACGTGAAATTCTTCTTCCGTTTGAACACTGAGAGGCTATCTCTGGGTTATTGTTTGGCCTGATTTCAGGATCGTTGTTTCTCAGGTTATAGGGAGGTCGGAGGAGAGGGAGGGGGCACAGCCAGCAGTGGAGCCGTCGGCGCATACACGTCTCCATTCAGGTCCTCAGCTTACATAGGAGCGGCCAGTGGCGTCCAAAACAGTTACAATAGTAACATCAGATAGCACTGGTCACCAGAGCAAATATAATAATCACAAAGAAAAAATGGGGAATATTGTGAGAACTACCTAAATGTGACACAGACGCACCAAGTGAGCAAACTCCGTTGGAAAAATAATGCCAATGGGCTTGCTTTGTGCAGGGTTGCCCAACCTTCAATTTTTATCTATGAAGTGCAATAAAGTGAAGCATTGTTAGGAGGGGTATGCCTAGGATTAATGAAACATGCACTCAACTAACGGGGCTGTGCCAACACACTGGGTCATAATTATAAGCACATACAATAAAGTATCCAATCCTATTGCTCCTTCCAGCCCCAGTGAAGAAGAGAGGGACTCCCCTAGGGTCTGACCGTACTGACTCCCTTTCGTAAAGCACCCAGGAAAGATCTAGAAGGAAGAGCAGAGGTTAAGGGGTTACACTGAATATGAAATTGGAGAATTTAACTTGACTGGCATGAATATTTTATTTCTTATCCAAGAATAACTTGGGAGTTTGGGGACCTGCCCTGTACATTTTTAAGAAAAGGGAAATTCAGCTTTGGGTTTTCCTTAGTTGACTTAAAAGTGCTGTCAATTGCAGAATACATCCTGATTTCAGGGATGTTAAAATACGTTTTATAAAATGCGTTATCTTACAATGGATGCAATACAGTCATATATCTGACCAGAGGCAAGAGAAAAGTATAATTATTTTATGTTTGCATCTCAATAAGTTCAGACTGTTTAATAACCAGGAATAGCTGTAAAGAACTACGATACAGGGAATGAGTTCTCATACCAGTTTCCCAACCCACCTCACCGGGACAGTCTCCCAGCTTGGAACAAACCAAGTCAGTATTCCACTGGGCCTGGCCTCCTGTGGGGCAAATATTGCAAAATATACACTTCCATCTAAAATTTCTGAGTGCAGTTTGAAACTATTCCAAATAAAAAATGACAAAAATACAGAAAAATTCTTTCAAAAAACCTAACATCGAATCTCAAAACTTCAAAGAATATAGGCATGCAGGCATCCCAAGGTTAAAAGACCAAGTCACATAGTAAACTGTGTTAGACAAGCTACCGATCAGACCCCACTCAGCTGACTTAGGTGAAACTGAAGGAAATCAGACACGGAGAGAACGTATGAATTTGATGGGATGGTCCCCAGGACCTCAGTGTGCTCATGTCTCAACGTCCATGTTCCAGCATCTTAGAGTCTTTGCATATTGCTTTGGCCAATCCCTAAACCACATTTATAAAACTCATTTCCTACTCTGTCCAAAGTCCTTAACACAGAAGCTCTGCTGTATGCTGGCTTTAGTTATATTCAACCCTGTGTCTGTCTTTAGGTTGACAAAATGGGATACGCTGGTGTGTGTGTGGCAAGGAATCCTGTATTTTAAAAAAACCAATTAGGAAAACATAAATTTCTCATAAATTCCCCATTTTCTTTGCTTCTCCAAGGCCCACTTGTGCAGAGATCTAATGCCACCACCTCTGGGGCATCCCTGTCACCCCACCCTCTCCCTACAGCCACTCTTTGCGGTATTTTAGTCATATCATGCCTGAGGCCACACCAAGAGGAAGCGCTTCATGCCAAACACTGCACGGGTTACTTCACCCACAGGAACTAGGACGATGCCACGTGTAAGTGCCACACGTGGTCTGACAGAGTGGCCAGCAGGGAGTTGTAGCAGCTTCACGACCTCACTCTGAGGTCAGGCTGCTTCTGAGAATGAACAGGGTGGTAACACCCGCTCGGGCCGCGGAGTCGGGCCAAGGAGCTTCCTGGTGCGCATGCGGTTTCTGAGAAGCCAGCTTCCTTTGGAGAGTGGGGAGCACTGTGTGGGTTCATGGCTTTGTGAGTCACCTGTGGGGGAGCCCACACCGTTCTTTCCCTGAGGTCTGGCCTTTTGGGATGTTTACTTCTTACCCCGATTCTGATTTACTCTGCCCGGCGTGGTTAAAACAGGAGCGCCCCGAGGTGTCATGAAAGTGCCTGGTACAATGACTGGTCCTCGGGCCACACAGCTTGACTCAAGGGACTTACGGGCTTAGAAATGGGCCCCGTGCCCACAAGGGGCGCAACCAGCGGGAAAAAGACGAAGATAAATGTGCCGTCTTTCTCCCCAAATATGATTCTGTCCCGGTGTCTCTTCCCGCAGCTGGGACACCGCAGCCTCGTGGCCGTGAGAACAGAGACCCTGGGAGGATGCTCCTAACTCCCCTCCTCAAGGCATTGCCGACCTCTCTCCACGCCACTTCTAAGTATTTCTGAAATTCCATCAATTTCTCACCATCTACATCACCTCGGTCCAAACTACCAGCATTTTTTCCAATAAACCACTAGAACGGCCTTCTAACAGTCTTCCCTGTACCAGCTTTAACGTGATTTCTCACTCGCCAGGCCTTTTTTCACCCTTCAATCACGGAGGTCTTTTCTAAACGACGTTGTATCCACTGCACTGACCCCAGCCTGTCAATATTCTCCCACCAAGTTTAGGATGAAAAGAGACACATTCAAGAGGGCCGCCAAGGCTCCCAGAGGCCAAGGCTCGTCTGCCTCCAGCCCGTCTTCAGCATCACTTCGTCTCAGCTGCAAAGCCTGGCCTCAGAACCCCATTCACCGCAGCCTTCCTGAAGCAGGGGATTTCGCACAATGTCGCCTCCCCCTGTCTAGCAACATCCCTCTAATGGCCCAGGCGGCATCGACCGTCCCAGACTCCAATTAGACCGGACAGCCCCCATTGTTCTCCCAGCGCGGCTTCTTCTTTTTCATGGCGCCTGTCCCACGGCTTGGGTGTTCTTTGATTAATTTCCGCCTCCCCCACCAAGCTGCGTGTTCCGTGAGGCCTGCTCCTCCAGCCACGGGCAGAGGTGAGCTGTGATCAGCTGTTAAATGTGTGCATAACCACAGCACCCTTCCTGACGTTTCTTGAGGCCTAAGATTCTTGGGCCCTTTTTGAAACCCTGAGATAAGGATTGTTGCCTGCCTTTCCTGCATAAAATGGGCAGAAGGTTAGCTCTGATTTGAGTTACAGACTAAAACGAAGTGTGACAATCTTGGACACCTGGATTATGGTCACAAAGTCAGATCTCCTTTGCTCACTTAGTATGGCAACCTTACTCTTCCTGTTTACACAGACACAGTCACTGCAGTGCGTGCAGGAGGAAACACAGTGAGAAAGAAAACAAAAGTTATCTTGCAGACACACAGCTCTGCTCTAGCCGATGCTCTTGGAAGCACTGTGTTAAGTGGGGTTAACACTGCTTGTTGGGACAAATAGACCCTCACATTTATAAAGGCTCCCGCTCAGTGGAAGCTTCTTTTCCCAAAGAGCTGGCAACTGACTTTCTCCACACAGGGACTCGGGACCAAGTCCTTTCTGTCTGGAGGCGTCACCACTCTCTGCCCTTTCTGGGGTCTGCATTTAACGGCAGAAGGGGAAAGAGGGTGGATAAGGCACACACAGTTCTTACAGGCCTAGGCCTGGAAGTGACACGTCACTGCCACCATCCACTGACAGCACCTTGTCACCTTGTCAGACCCAGCTTCAGGGGAGGGCTAATGGGAAATGTGGGCTCTAGGTGGGCATCTACCAGCCAGGTGCAATGACATGATGGGACAGAGAATCAGTGTACATGTCGGGAGACAGCTAGACATTTCTGCCCCAAATACCCCGGATTTGGATAAGAGAAGCAACGTCCATGAGAACTGGGCAGTTGAAACAAGAGACTGTGCAAACATTCAGCCCTGTGTAGAGTGCAGTGCACACGAAAGAAGTAGGGTGTCATCCATGCGCCTAGGAGTTTGGGCCGGGGGCGAATGGCAATGCAGGTGACTGTGAAACAATGTGTGGGATATATGCAGGGACAAACATACATGTGTGTACTCATGCGTCTGTGTCTGTGTTGAGTTTTTTGATGAATATAAGATTGTTGAAACCCTCATGATTAGGTCTTAAGAATTTATCTTAGTTCCCTTTGAGATGATTACCAAGTACTGGGGTTTTTGGTGCCAAAAGGAATATTACCTTAAAAATTAACGTCTTTTATAGGAGAAACGTAACATTTGTGCTACCTTATTCCCTGTCAAATAATCCTGACATGTTAAGTTTTTTATGGCTAGCTGATATATTTAATATGTAAAGCAGTAAATATTTGTGGTTAAAAAAAAGAGATAATTATGAACCAAGCCATATAACAAGACACTGTAGTAAGGAATGAACCGGACTTAAAATGGAAAAGCACCACCTACCTGTACGATTCCACAGGACAACATACCATTTAAAGTTCCAAGAGGGAAGTTTCCGTGTTAATTAGCCTTGTTTCCTCCTTTCTGGGAATACGTGTGTGTGACCCACGTTGGCCATCGCCCCCTCCTGTTTCCTTTGTAACACTTTTCAATAGTTGTGACATTTTATTGGTCTGTTACCAGCCTTTCATCTTGAATGTAAGGCCCTGCTTGCCTGTCCACCACTGAGTGGCTGGGGAGGAGCAGGTCTGTGTTCTAGAAGTCACCCGGCACATATCTGTTAGTAAAGGAGAGAATGATGATATAAATGGACAAATAGATGAGTAAATGAATAAATGAAAGATGTACATTTATTTTTCCCCTATGAGGAAACTTTAAGATTCAAATAATTTTGTTAGAGATACAGCATAACATGTAGACTGCTTACACCTTTGAGTCGACTTTCTAAAACTTTTAACTGCTGCCACTAAGTTTTGAGGTCAAAACAAATTGTTATTTTGTTACCTACATTTACTGGCACCTTTCCTAAGCAGTTTCCTCAGTTTAAAAGGGTGGATACTATGTTACAGAATTCAAAATAAACTAAATGAGATGATTTGTCAGGCATCCAGGCAACGACTTATACATGGAAGGGGATCAAGAAATGCTAGTTCCTTAGAAAATATAGCCTGTGATCTGGACCCCAATCCAGGACCCAGAAGACCTTCCTCCTGTTCTTGGGTCCCCCACTTACGGCTCTCTGACCACTTAGCCACTCTTATCCTGTTTAAGGGAAACTCTCCACCTCTTTACCTGTAAGATTCTCTCTGACACATCAGCTTCCTCAGCTAATGATTGGACAATCCATCATTACCTCAATCGGAAAAAGATGAGGATAGTTTCTTACTGAACCTTAATAGTGGCTAAAAGGGCAAAAACTAAAATGCTTTTTCCAAATAAGATTCTAGTTCAATTTCCAAAATATTTCCATCCATAATTTGTAACCATCTTTAAACATGGGTTTCAAACATCTGCAAGCCCATCTTCTCCAACTTCTTACTTAACAACTTCATAACCGTGTGTGAGTTCTGGAGAACCGCTGACCTGGAGAACCGGCCGCCATGTCTGTGGATGGCACCTGTGTTTTCGACCAGTGGACTTTGTTTTCAGATATAATCTGTTGGCTCAGAGGGACTGTTAGGGGTTTTGACTTTTGTAACTTTGGAGGGAAGCATTATGTTTGGGGAAAATGGTTAAAGGAATCATCCCGAGACATCATTTCCAGTCTGAAAACACGAAAGGGTAACCAGGTAATAAAATTCCATTTCATTGTGATTTGGCATGAAAATCAAGGGGACAGTATTTAATAATCAATAACTTCTTCATTAAAAAGGAAGCTGTTATCCTTGTTTGGAAACATCTGGATAAATAATGAACATATTGTATGGTAAGATGAAACAGAAGGTTTTAAAGTTTATAAGATTTATTAGAATTCTAAAATCTGCCATTTTACATTTGGCCATTTCCAAACTAAAGGGGAAAGTAAGATAATACTAGATTTTTCTTTCCAAGTCTGAAATCTGAAAGAGATATCATCACTTAAATAATCTAAGGATAATGGTGAAAATGTTCACTGACTTAGAAAAAGTTACTCAGCAAATGCCCTCTGCCTTACAAAATATTCACCTTTTAGAAAGAGGCTGTAGGTCAAGTGTGAGAGATTAAAGATGGCCGTACAGTCTTTCATAGGACTTGAACAATACAAAAAGCCTAAAGAAAGAGGCAGTTTCCATTACCCATCTCTTGAATACTCCCTCGTGAAGCCTTGAGCCTAAGGTAGCCACGTGTAGAAGTCATTTAAAGCAGAGATCAGCAACTTTTTCTGCAAAGAACCAGAGAGTAAGTATTTTAGGTTTTGTGAGACATGAAGAGCAGGTAATATCTAAACAGGTATTTGTCACTGCGTTCCAATAAAGCTTTATTTATGGGTACAAATGTGAATTGCATGTAAGTTTCAGACCTCATGGGGCATTTTTCTTCTTCAGATTTTTTTCAAACATCAACAAATATAAAAATCTTTCTTAGTTCAATGGCTGGACAATAACAGGCTTCAGACTGGACTGGGCAGAAGGAGACGGGGCAGGAGAGAGTGGTCCGGCCGGTGCTCCGTCTTCCAGCCCTCAGACACTCGTGCTGCCCCACCGAGGCCCCCACGTGAGGGCAGGATGAGCCGTCTGCATGGCGCCCCATCCAAATTCTTGGTCCCCAGAATCACAATATGATGATAATAAAGAGTCTGAAGCCCTAATTTTGGGGATAGTTGGTTGAACAGCCATAGATAGCAGAAATAACTAATTACAAAATATTGAAACGCAGATTTAACTTTTTGAAAACACTGTCCTACCTCACTCTTTTCCCTTAAAAATGCCCCTTCTCATCAGGCCATAAGAACCAACAATTTTTACTGTATTGATCAAAATAATTCATTTTGTTTGTGCCATAGATACAGCTCCATTAGCAAAGTGAGTGAAGTTTTCCTTTGGAAAAAAGGTATAGGTTATGCTAAAACCAAATAGGAGATGAGTTTTCTGATATTGACATTAAAAATTAAGAGAACTAATGAAGCCCCTCACTTCCCAAATCTAGGTTTAAAAACAGCGTTCCCTTCATTCCCCTATATGACCTACTGTTTTTATCACCCAGCTTTAATTCTTCCTCCGTTCGCAGCCCCGTGGCTCTGCACACGCTTGCTGCTGGGCATGTCCACCCGAGCGGAGCCCGCTCTCGGCCCGAGAAATGGGCTCCACACGGCGTGTGACCCGCTCTGGGCCCGTCTGCCTGGGCAGCTCTAACTGGTGTTGCTGGCAAAGAACTCTTGGCTTGTTCTCTGTCTGCTGAATGGAAAACTGAAGCTACAGGGCCCCCGGGGTGGGGGGACCCCCTCCTGCCCCTGTACCAGCTCTGATCGACGGCCGAGGCAGCCTCGGTGCGCCCGCAGGAGCGGGAACGGAGGGAGGAGGGAGAACGCGATCCCGCTGAGCGCCCAGTCCCCTTAGATCTACTCCAGTGACACCCCGAAATCTTTTATCTTGTGTAAGCCAGCAATTGACATCTTTGCTTTAAATGAGACGGTCATAGTCTGTGGCAGTCGCGGCGGACCGTGCCCTGAGTCACCACGTGGGAAAAGACGTCCCAGCAATGGGCATTTTTCTTATTTACTCTTTTGACAAATGTTTTTAGAGTTCTATCAAGCATATGCCAGACCTGGTAAGGGGGCATCAGAGCACAAAAATGGGCAGGAACAACGTCCCTGCCGACCAGCGGCTCACCGCCCAGCAGTGAAAACAGGCTTAGAAACAAACAATCAAAACGCCGCGCGATGGAAGCGCGGCCACACTGCGGCCTGAAGGAGGAAGCGACGCCGGGGCTCGGGTGGCGGCGGGGGGTGGCCGCGGGCGGGGAGGGCTCCGCTCGGCTCGGAGGCGCGCACCGCCCTGGGGGCCGCCGGGAGCCGGTGCAGGGCCGGGAGCCGTGGGGGCGGGGGCGGGGCCCGAGGAAAGGCCGCGGGGCACACGGCGGGGGGCGCAGCGAGGACCCCGGGCCCACGGGAGGGGGTGACACTAGGGCCCCGCGCCGGTTAGGCCCGAGGGGCGCGGGAGGCGGGCGAGGCCCAGGCCGCCTCCCCCCGCGGGGTCCCAGCCTCCGCCGCGGCCGTGCACCTCCCCCGCCCGGGCCCCCTCTCTGCTGCCAGCGCGTTCCATCCCCGCCCAGAGAGGACGTGCGACTCGGGGGCACCCCGTGTTTAGACGCCACCTTCCTGACGTCAGGCTCTCCCCCCTCTCCAATCCCGGCCTTCCAGGCCCTCGGGTGCGCCCGGCACCGCGACCGCGGAGGCCCCGAGGGGTGGGAGGTGGGCTGCCCGGCCCGGGCAGGGTTGGGGGTGCGCGGCAGGGGCTGAACCCCGGCGCCCCCGGTGCAGCGCCTGGGGCGCCCCACCCCGCTCCCTCCGCGCCGCCCCTGCCGCTCCCCCCCCCCGGAGCCCCGGCTACTGCGCGCCGCGGAGCCCGGGCCCCCCCCTTCAGGCGAGGAGGGGACCCCTGCGATCCCAGCGCGCCGCGGCGGAAACAGGCGAGGACGGGAGGGCGCCTCCCCTGTGCCGGGGCGCTGATTGACTCCCCGATGGTAAACGAGATGACGGAAGAGGAAAACCGGTGTGTGTGTCGGGCAGGTTCACAGTATAAATCGTAAGGAAAGAGTAAGTGTAACAAACATGCAAATTTACCTGTCAGGTTGGGCTTTCCAGTTAATGGCATCTTATCGGTACTGTTTGACATTTGTCCTTCAAAATACTGTTTTTCAGTATTATATTTTCCAGTATCACTCACTTTGCCACTAGGTTAAAAGCACGTACGGCTGCAATGAACTTCTCCATCTTCCTGTGAAATAGGCAAGTTTAGTGATGGATGGAAAAAGGAGGTTCCGTAGAGCACATTTTGTGAAGGTGTGGGTATCTGGTGTGTGCATGAACACAGACGCACACACAGAGCTGTCCGGAAATGGGTTCGACAAGAGAAAAAACAGTGATGATCCGCGGTGTTGGACCGTCAGGTGATTTATTTTCTGCACATTTTTGTCTTGTATTTCTTAATCAAGAGTGTTAAATCACTTTAAAACACAAAAGTATATTACAGTAAACAATAGGCACACTGACTGTAGTCCTGTCCCATTTGAGAGATACATGAACTTGTTGGCCAGAAATATGTCTTATGTACACAGTACACACACATGATACTGACTTTCTCAAGAAAAATGCACTGGCATTAAGCTCTTCTTAGGTTATGTTTAAATTCGTGTTTCTTTTCCACGTAGGACAGCATTTGAGTATGAGGTTTTGTTTCAAAGAATATGAAATTCAAGATAAACAACTTCCCCTTACACTGTATTTTCCTCCATGTCTATGGAAAGAATTATTCACTTACTGTAGGCAGAGTAAGCCAGAGAAATAAGTCAAACTATTACATTTTTAGTGAGAGTCTCTCTGCACTCATTTGAAGCATCATTGGCAAGGCAAGCCCTGCATAACCAGAGAGACGTCCTCGGCTTTCGTTCTCACCTCGTGGCGGGGCTTATAAATGAACTGCACGCGCATCATTCCATATAGGTGAAAGTAATTATGAAAAGCAGTGAGCTCAAAAACATGTTATTGTAGCTGATACTTGTCCTCATCATGTTTACTAAAGTGATAGAATTCGTCTTAATTTTTGACATCTGCAGCCATAGGTACTGGGTGCTCACCATGGCTAGACTTGAACCCCACTTACAAAGGAGTACACTTAAATATTTCACAAATCAGCGACCATCAGCGAGCACAGTGAGCTCATGGCTGTTTCTGGAGCAGGTGGTGACGTTTGCAGGCTGCTTCTTCGGTGGATTGAAATGCACATCTGATGTTACTCCAGGTCGTTCACACAAAAAATAGGGAAATGGCCCCATTACTCCTGCCTTTCCTTTAGATGTGCTCCAGTCATCCTTCTGAGCAAACCCATTTTCAAGAAAGCTCCCTATTTGGTGATATGGTGGGTGGGGTCCTCAATGAAAAATCAAAGATCTAAAATACCTTATTTCTGCTATTAATTAGTTGAGTGAGTTCTACACATTATTTAACTTACCTAAGTGTGGATTTTGTTACTGGCAAAACATGGGATTCCGACTTGGCAGGTGTCTAAGAGCCATTGTTCAGCTCCGGAGAACTGGTGAACGGAAGGGCCCATCTCCCTGAATGGGGAGCCTGGGGCCCAAGGGCTGGGGCCTGGGGGCCTGGCGAATACATCAGTTCCTCTGATGCCATCAGCTCTTCTGTAATAGTACCAGGATGACAGAGGTCTGAGTCCCTCCTACAAGGATCTCTTCTCTGTGGTTGTTTGCGGCCGACCCACATGCTTGCAGTCAGCACATGACAGTGTGATTTCAATTTCCTCTGGAGGCCATTCTGCGTCCCTGCAGCTAATGAGGTCTTTCCATCCGTCCTTGTTTCCAGGGCTCCTATATCGTTTTCCCCTGCATCTCCCCCTGGCCGTCATCCTGTCCCCTGCATACTATCTAGCTCAGCTTAGATCTCTTGGGTTCCTGTAAATGGTGAAAGGGTTACACGTGAACACACTACCGACGCCCGCAAGGGTGTGATACACGGTGTCGCAGCCCCACTGCCCGTTGCTGCCCCTGCAAGAGGATATGGTGCCTGTAGTTCCAGCTCTGATGACACGCAGGTTCCTTGATACACACGTCAACATCCTCAACAGTGTACATCAGCCACCTTGGGTGCACACCGTGGATTTCAGCAGCAGGGGCAGGTACCACTGACACTGGAATCTTCAACAAGGCTGAGAATGAAGGAGAGATGACATCAGAGCTGAAAAGAAGGAAAACCGAAGGTGCCTGGGGGCGGGGGGGCTATGAGCCCAAGTCAAGGGCAGAGGGAGCCTCTGCCCCTTGGTGACACTCAGGACCATTTGGAAGGAGCACCGGAAGGCTGGCTGAGTTCACAGGTAGAAGGGGCCTGTGTCTCTGACCATCTGCTTCAGATGGAACAGGAAACACACTTCACGTGTATTTTCACAACACACTTATTTAACTCCGCCTGCCTGTACTTCATCTATAACCCGCCTAAATCATCTATAATTAGCCTCTAAATTTTCCATGATCTACAGAATCCTAATGTTACTACAGTATTCCATGACACAGTACATGCCATCGAGATAATACATCAAGAAGGCTGACACTCTGCAGTGTAGAAATATAGGACATTATTAATCGATCAATCCACACGTATTTAAGTCACAAGTTTGGATTGAGCATCTACCCTATGTTAGATGTGATCCTGTTATAGGAGTGATGTGAGAGTCACTAGAAATGTCCATCAAAATAAAGGACGATTAAAATACATTTTAAGAGACAGGTTATATAATTCCATAGCAAAAAAAAAAAAGATAAGTAATTTGGCTTTTAACATCAAAAGAGTACCTGGAAAGAAGTGGTGTTAAAAAAAAAAAATCTAAGATAAACATCTTATGTAGACAAGGCAAGCTCAATAGGACAGGTCCCGGCCCAAAGACAATTCAGGAGGCAGTTATGACAGACCTCTCTCACTGACCTAGGGTTTTCATCCGTGACGTTGTAAGGCAAATGCAGATTAAAAATAAGAGGCTTAATTCTCCCTGTCAAAAGGAAGGGGAGTTTCCCTCACCAACTTTTTCCTTAGAATATCTACCTTGAAAACTTGTGATTTTAAATCCTTTGTCTCCTCTTTAAAATGTATCTATGTATCCTTTTGAAAGTAGGTAGATCCTTGTCAGCTTTATGACCCTGTTGAAATGTAAACATCCAGGGAGATTGTACCCCCGTCTCTGTGGAGGGCAGGGGCCTGACTGGTGGGTGTCCAAGTTGCAAAGCTACCTCCTACGATGGAGATGCTAGAGATTTCCCTCTTCTCTGGATAAGGCCACTCAGGCACCATAGACAGTGGCTCCAATCATCACGGTAAAGTTAGAAGGCACTCTGTGTAACTGCTAAGTTCTGTTAAAGACTAGTTATCCTTTGTCTTGACTCTTAAAGGTGTGTAGGTGATGCGCTGTACCTGCACGGCTGTCCCCGGAGGGAGCTGGCTCTGCGTCCTGCGATGGCGGGGACTGCCTGGGACACTGTGGTGTAAGGCCTTTGCCATCATAAACACGCCTGCTTCCCCCACTGCCTGTGTGGAGAGGGTTTGGGGTTTGGAGATGTCTTTGTTTTTATTTGTATTTCCCAAACACATACCAGGTCTGAGTCCAGAGCCACACTGGCTGGGACTGGACAGCACATCCCGAGGCAGAGAACCTTCTCACCCAGCCCGGCTCACCCGAGTCCGGTCCCAGAGGGGCAAGTGCAGCGCCGCAGAGGCGGGTTCTGCTGCCAGGAAAGGGGGACGGCCGGGTCAAGACCACCCTCCGGACACTGGGGGAGCCCCTTACCCCGGGGCCCTTTTGTCTACCTCCCAGTCACTTTGTGGGGCCAGACAGTGTCCCATATAGGCGCACGCCCTCACCTGGAGGAAATACAGGCAACGATTGACCCCTCTGTTCACGTCAGAGGCGGAGGCGCTCTGCGGCTGCTCAGGTCGGGGCTTCGCGCCCTTGGCCTGCACACGCCCCTTCCGTGATCCCAGGAGGGTGTTTACGTGGCAGTCTTCTTCTGTAAAATTTGCAAAAGTAAGATCTTTCTGTATTCCTTTTGATCAACAGGACCCACCAAATCATAAAAGCTTGAGGCGTCTCCTGTGAAAGG